CTCCGGTGGGGCAGCCCTTGGTTCCCCCGCACCCCCTCCAGGCCGGGGTCGGGGTGGCTGCCGCCATCCCCCTGCTCTGCCGCCGGCCCCGACGCTGCCCCCTCTTCCTCTTCTGTTTTCTCCTCTGGGTTTTCGGGGACCCTGGGGGGCTCCAGGGCTTCGGCCGCCCCCGCCGTCCCCACGTACCGCTCCACGGGGCTGAGCCGGATGACGGCTGCATCCCCCGCTGCAACAATCGTTCCCAAAAGCTGGTTGCTGCTGTCAGCGACGTAGGTGGACAGCCACGCCAGGACCAGAGCCAGCACCAGCACCACGACACCGGCCACCACCGTCACCTCATCCCCCACCCCACGGATGAAGGTGGCGGCGGGGGGCTCCATCTCTGCAGCTGGGATTCCCCCCCTCAGCCCGGCAGCTCGCTTTTTGGCTCAACTCCGCCACGAAGTCCCCGCGCCGGGTGCGAACCGGCCGCGCGGCGGCAGCGGGGACCCCCGGGGCTGCTCTGTGGCGGCGTTCGGCCTTAAAATAAATCCCGCTGCCGCTCCAACGGCACGGAGAGCTGGAGGGAAGGGAGAGCTCTTCACTGCAGACGCTTCCTTTCCGGTACCGAGATACCAAACCGGCGAGAGCTGGGGACAGGGCGATGCCCGCGGGGGGCTCTGAGCGGGCAGGGGAGGCGGCAGCCCCTCGGTGAGCACGGGATTTCTTTGAAGAGGCAGAACTTGCGGCTCAGGAGTAATTACCTCGTCCCCGCCGGGAGGAGGGCGATGCTGTCGCTTCCTAGGTGCCGATTAGGAACGCAGCACCTGTAATTACAGCCCGAGCTGGAATCGGCCAGGGCAGGACGGAGCCGTGCGCTCAGCGGGGCCACGTTTACCTTGGTGGGGCCGGCGGAGGGTCCCGGTGGGCTCCCGAAGCCCCTCGGTGCCCAGCCAGGCTCACGCCATCCCCGAGCACCGGCCCTGCTCCTGGAAGGGAGCGGAGTGACGGCCGTCAGCGGGGCCGTCAGCCCGGATCACGTCGGTCAAAGCCATCCCGGTTCTTTCCGCAGCGGCCCCGTGCCCGGGGAAGGGGCAATCGGGGCGGCGGGGGCCCGGGGCTGCGCGGGGAGCCCTGGGGGCCTCCTTGCCAGGCCTGGGGGGATCCCGGGGAGGCCCAGGCTGCCCCGGGGCGGGGTGACCGCCCCAGGGTGCCCGAGGGGGTCCCGGGGGTC